AGGCGCGCAACCTTTTGATCATTGCGCCACCTCTTTCCCAAAATCCTTAGGATTTCCTGGAGCATGTAGCCCAGTAACAATCACGAAAACAGTCACTCACTGACTGGAAGTTAACAGATATCTGCACTTTTTAGAGATCGGTGTTGCGATGAAGAAATTTTTCGAAGAACACCAACCGAAAAACATCAAGGTGCGTCCCTTGCAGACGTATATGGATTACTTCTCCACAGTTATTTCCATCCATATCAATGAAATCAATAAGCCTTACAGAGATCGAATGAGGTCTACTGCGGTTGCGACTGTTGCATATGTGTGTCTTTTGAAGCAAACTTTGACACACCGAAAGGACCACAAAAGGTCATCGAACACCAGATTTGGAAGAAACACGATGGCAGCTGGAAGATATACCACATGGAATACGAATTGGTCGCTTAAGAATAATTGTTAGGAGAATCTGATTGCTCATGAAATTCTTCGGTTTTTTTGTTGTCGTTAAAGCGATAAAAACGTCTTAATTTCAATTGATAAGGTAACCTCCCTTCAAAAAGCGAGAAAGTGTCGGGTGCAGACCAAACACCACAACTGACGACGGCCTCCAAGTAAATCTGGTTAGAAGTTGTTCATAGTGATAGCTGATTTCTGGTAAATGATAGTTGTAATTAGTGACAATCGATAGAATACAACTGCAACAGGCTAATCATTTCATTGGCAGAAAACATTTTTTGTGAAGGCCGTCGTCACTTGTGGTGCATGGTCTGCACCCGACACTTTCTCGCTTTTTGAAGGGGAGGGTATCTATAATGAAACGGCAGAACCGAGACTCATGGAAGTATCTGAAAGGTACTTCTAGGATCAAGTTGGTATAGCTATTCCGCTCGAAAATAATAGTCAAATCGCGAAATGGAGCTATGGCAAAGAAAAAGGAAAAAGATCATCGGGAACCTTGAAAACAGAATGTGGAGGATTCCGAAGGGCAAGCACAGACATGGAGATAATAGATACCAAAGAGTCGCAGAGAGAGGAAAAGAATGGATGATGAGAGAGCATGTGTACAAGTCGGAGCCGATTTGGCCTATCACCTAAATTCGCGAGTGTAACCGCCCGTGCTGGGTGGACCCCTCGGAATCACCTAACGCCTTCGTCTTTGTCTGCCTTAGTGCCACGAAGTCGATGCGACCCGGGTTGATGGATCACTTCTACCTTACTGCGACCGTGGATTCCCTTCTTGGCTTTAAAGGACGAATTTACGATGGAAAAGCAACCCATTCCAAATTGAGGTAGAGATGGTGAGTAGTACCAGAAAGAAAGCGAAACCACGAAAAACGGCCCAGAACCGGAGAAATGGGACCCCTTCCTTGTCCGTTGATTTGAGCATTGATGGGACTCTCATCGCTTTGCCCTCTTCAACCCTACGCTCTCTCAGCTATCTAATCACTCGCCACCTATTGTACTACGGCGAGTGATCAGACGATCGGTGGGCGGAGATCGCCGAACTCGCCAACTTTGAGCCATGCTAGATCTCAGAGGTCAAATCTTTCGATGCCGATTGCGTGTCTGTCCGCACCCTCAAGAGATTCACCGCTCTCCCCACTAGGCGATTTCTCCCTTCTTCGACCTTCGTTCTTTCCGTGCAATCCTCCTTTAAAACTGAACGCCATTCTCTCCAGGGTCGAGTAATTAATACCAGACTTTTTTGGGAAAATAGAAACGCTGACCTGTACATCGGCTGAGCTTCGCAGGTCGTCGTATAGGCCATTTCGCATTCATATCGAAACCACGCATCTGAATGGAAGTAGACGGCATGGCAAAGTACCAAGAAAGAATTGTTCAATACTGAACGCTTTATCATTGATCCTTAATTCAAATTAAATCTGGGCAATTAATTTTAATTATTAATTTGTTTAAAATCATTTATCAAACTATTGCGATGTAATATTTAATATCTAAAGTATTATATAGGCTGAACGTGTGATAACTGATACTATTTAGTAAATTGTTGTGATTCTATAATAGGACATATTCTACTTCCGTGACTATCTAAACTATTGTAGCTTCGCGATTATGTTGATAATACCCAACTTCATCTTCAGCATCACAAACTTCAGTTTTCTATTACAATGAATTATTGATGTATTTACTATCTTCTGCTGTTTGTTATGGTAAGCAATCTAAGCCCACCAGTAACTTTGAAGACGTCTGAAAAACCTGTCCGTTATTGCATCTATCTTACCCGCGGAAGGGTGTTGACAAAGTGTCAAGGGTATAATTAACCACTTGGGCAGGTATAAATATTTGAAATGCTAAGACAAGTTCACTTTTCAAACTCGGTGCCTTACTTGAACTTTCCTTTTCCCCCACAGTGTGTTATTAATTATAAAGTCACGCACACCTATGTAGATCAATTGACAAGTAAGACTTTTCCTGCTCTCAAAACATCTCAATAATTATCCGTTCAATCCTTGGCAAGAGCCAAGAAATTTGAAGAATTCAGAGCTCGTCTTACCTTAACGAATTGTATGGGAATATCACCATGAGGGTGCGTGACTATTCAATCGTGGCGATGGCTAGGTCGCCGCGCCAGCCGCCGCAGCCCGCGATGCGACGTCGGCCGTGGTTAGAATTCAGGGTTCTAGCATTGGGGAATGTAGGATTAGATGAAGTTCCCAGTCGTGAAACACGGTATATGATCACCTGCCCCCTTAAAATACAGGATCCTTGTCCTTTGCCATTATTACAAACTTATTCTGTCATACTGATGTTAATGCCTTCCTCACCGTTCCACTGCGTCTTGGAACGTAATATTTTTCCGATTTAGCCAGATTATCGCTCTCTGATAACAATTCAGGCAGTTGATTAATAAAGAAGTCTCATTATGTTCAAAAGGACAACCTTTACATCGGCACAAGCTCTGTACAGTGAGGCTTAAATAACTGCGGAGATCTTAAGGTGATTCTTGTTGGCTCACTGATGTCTGGAACTTTGGTCTTATCAGTTCTCTAACCCCACCAGCAACTTATGGACAAGGACCGTTAAGCCAAGGCCCATACAAAAATCGCCGCACCATTTGCCGCGCGCGACGCTGCCCGCCGCGTGAGCGGCGTGACCTCATTAGCCGACGATTGAATTGACCGTCTCTCCCCACCAGTGAGTAATTCCGGCTGTCACTCTGAAAGAGAGTTCGAAAGGGAGGAGGATTTGAGCCACGCGAACGTCTTGCTCTAATTTGAACAGGGTAGCATAAAGTTTCTAGGATGGGTTTGTCGGTGGCGGTATCTTTGCTTGCCTAATTAATTATGGTTTGTCCATATTTGTAGGCTGTACTTGCAGACTCGTTTCACCGTGTTCGTATGTAAAATACTGTGCGCTGCGAAAAGGCTTGCGTTGTTAGCTCTCAGCTTTGTTCGGCTTAGATTCCTCTCAGAAAACTATTTTCAGGATACGTCATGCCTTTGAATTTGACTCAAAATAACAGAATCCTTTTTAGGCGCATCCGTTTTGTGCGATGATTATCATGGTCTAACGGGATGAAAAGATTTGTCATATCCTAAATAGATCGACCCAACATCATTTTGATGAAATGAGAGAAATCAAAACTTGGTCGGTGTAGAGCTCACCTCACCTGGCCAAAGGGGCAGCCCCAGGAGGTCAGTCGCGCGGCGCCAAAAAAAGACACAAGTAGCTCGATCAACGGGTGAGGCTTCGAGAGCGTGCGCGAAATCACTGACCCGTCCGTGGCGCGTCCGAGTTTCCGTCTTCTCGCGGGGGCGGGGAGGGAAGAGCCTCCTGCCAAGCACTCAAAAAAGCAATCATATCTCTCTATATGACCTCAACACGCCCCAGAAACTCTTGCATAGGTATAGCACGACAGAAGTACCATTTGTTTATTTTCTAGTGAATCATAAGTCACTCCCCTCTCCTCCAGTTAAAGAGCAAAAAGCAAAAATGTCTAATATACGCTTTGCCAACAACGATAAAGTATACGATCCGATGAAAGTCCCATAAAAATAGCGAGTATGAAGATTTAATTTCATGAAAACATTGTTTAGGTGAGACACTAATGAGGTAATTTTTCAAGAAAGCATGCAATCCGTTCGTTAACCCAAAGGTGTCCAACAAAAACCAGGTCAGCTCTCGCGAGATCTGTCACTCCTGTATAGTCCCGGATCAACTGTACATAAGACATCCTCCAGTTGCCTATTGTAGCATGAAACACGGAAGTATACGCTCGTTTTGTGCTCATTGAAACTCTTTGTAAACTAAAGTTCAAGATGGCAAAACATAAAACAGTAAAATAAGTAATATATACGGCGGGGGGGGGAAAGCGCATGCGTAATCGCAGCGAAAACCGCTCATGATCCTCAAAGTGAGAATATTTCCATTGAAGGCAGTAAAGTTCGGTAGGGGCTAGGGTTTAGGCAACTCCGGCTTTTCTAGGAAACATCTCTTACTTGATACCCACCTAAACTTGTTGAATTTTCTGCTGCGCAATTCATATAGTGCGTCACAAGTGCTTCAAGGCCGTCATTCCCTTTCTGCCTAGAGGACTGGTCATTACTCTACGCAGAGCGGGCTCATGCAGTGTTGTACCTTGTATGTATATACGACGATACCCTGTCGCTTACAGCGCTGACACTTGAAATTAATTCCTATTTCAGCAGACACTTAACCAGAAAAAAAAAAAAAAAAAAAAAAAAAACACAGGTCACTGAGGATGGAGAAGGAAGGTAGGTGCCACTAGAACTACTATTATTTGACAAATAACCAGCTAGAGGAAAATATGCAAGCATCACCTCAGGTACAGCTGGCACCTTGAGGGTGCGGGTAGGTCCCCACATCCGTTGTGAATCCCTAAGATGCACTAGTACCTAAAGAGAAACAAGCAACCTACTGGGCTGAGCTCTAAATGGCTTCAAAGAATTCCACTCAGCTGGTATCTGTGCCCCTGAACAAATATCAATTGCTTTGGAATTCAGAAGTTCGAGAAGCGCTCAAGCCGATCTATGCCGAGGCTTGAAAAGCATATCACGGAAAGGAACCTGGAGGCAATCTTCGAACACCTTCACACTGACTGTGTGGTTGTGCAAAAAAACAAAGAGGTCTCTTATGGAAAGGAACGTGAGTTACTAGTCATACTGTAATGGTGAATATGGAGCCGGTTATTGCTTCTACGGTCCTATAATTTGATTAACTTCTGAGTGAATAAAATAAATAAGTAAATAGATAAATAATAAATAAATAAGGGGAACGAGAAGCACCAACAACTTCCTCCTTCTTACATGAAGAATAATTAGCCATAAAGTAAATGATTGTGCATAATAACTTCATACCCTACGTTTAGAATCGAATAAAGGATAAAGGATAAAGCATTTGCCGTTGATCAATCCCTTTTTGGGATGCGGCACGCATTCTACTTCCATTTGTACATTCGTAGTGGCGTTTGAATGCGATGTGGCCTATACAATGACTTGCGGGGGCCAGCCGATGTACAAGTCAGTGTTTTTATCCTCCCAGACAAGTCTGGTACCAATTAACCGACCCCGGAGGGATGGAAGGCTTGGTTGGCCCGGGCGACTCACGACCCAGGATTTGATCCCCGGACCGCTCGCGTGGTAAGCGTGCCACTTGCCACTACACCACTTCCGCCCATAAAAAACCACCATTCTAATAAATTCGTATCAACGCACTTCTGATTTTCGAACAAAACAGTACACCATTCGATCTCGACCAGCACCATGTTTGAAGGCATGCAGTGACGATTAGAAGGCAGCCCATTATTGTCGATGAAAGGTATAATCAATGGTGCCGGGAATGAAACAAAATACCATGAGGAATGCTCAGAACGAGAAATGGGACCTCCTTCCCGCCTATTGATTTTCGCATGGTTCTGCCCAACAGCCCCCTCCCCTTCCAATAATTATGAAGCTGTAATACCAGTAGTGACATCAGTAGGCAGAGTGGAAAGATTTTTTCGACATTGTCAGTTATTTAGTCGCTGCTTACACATCCTACAAATGAAATGCTCAAAATAGCTTTTTTCGACGTCCACCTCTCCTTCTTCTTGACTTGAACGAAGTTCATCAAACTCTCGTGGAGTTTGGTTCAACTTCAAAAGTGGTAGCTTCTAAGTCTATGACGAGAAACGCCCTGGCCAGCTAAAAAATTCATGGCAATAATAGTGAGCGTTATAAGGTTGAAAGGGTTGCTTGTAAACTGAAACTTGGCCTTTTTTGCGCTTTCATGCAATGAAAAAGATTATGAAAAAAGTAAAAGGGTCGCTACACGATTGTCCTTTTCGGTCGTTTGCCTTGGTGCTCGTGTCTACATTTCCCAAGAACGTTCGTTCAAAAAAAGAGTTTCCAAGAAGTGAACACAAGGGCTGGAAGGCGAAGCGGTTTTCGCGACGATTTTGATGGAGTCACTTGCTTAAAGGAGGAATTCACGATAAGAACGAAGGTCAAAGAAAGGGGAAATTGCATAGTTGGGAGACAGGCGGACCTCCTGAGGGTGCTGACCGACGCGCAATTGGCAGCGAAAGATTTGACCTCGGCGATCTAGCATGGCTCACTCTTGGCGCGGTTGGCGGGGTACGCCCACCGACTATCTAATCACTCGCCGCAGGTCTATACGTGGCGAGTGATTAGATAGCAGAGAGAGCGTAGTGTTGAAGAGGGCACAGCGATGAGAGTCGCATCAATGCGCAAATCAACGGGCAAGGAAGGGGTCCCATTTCTCGGGTTTCGGGCCGTTTCAATGGTTTCTTCTTCATCCCTGCTCCACCACCTCTACCCTTATTTCCAATGAGCTAACTTTTCATCGTAAATTCTGCCTTCAAGGGTGTTGGAAGGTGATTTGTTACACATGCCGAGCGCACTGAAGGGTCTGATTGTTTACTTATTCATTTATTAGTCTAGTTATTCAAGTGCATTGCATTTTTCGAATGCAAGATTCTAAATGATTGGAATTAACGTACCGTCCGAAGTTCGCTGCCATCAATGGTATTTTTTTAGAGATCGGTACAAAAATGAAGAAATTTCTCGAAGAGCACCAACCGAAGAATCTCAAGGTGGGGTTCTATTCACTGCCTTTTAGGTAGATTTCTAGCAATTGATAAATCCAACAAATATCTTTCAGAGATCGAACGCTACATATTGTGGTTGTGAATGTTGTATTTGTGTGTCTGTTGAGGTCGGTTTCGATACGCCAAAAGGGCCGGCTAAAGTGGTTGAGCATCACATTTGGAAGAAGCAGAACAACGAATGGAAATTGTACCATATTGAGTACGAATTGTCTTAAAAACGAACTTCAATAAACTTTTGCAATTTACAAAGTCGATATTTCCATTCAACGGAGAAACACTAAAACACGGTATTTTCTAGGAGGTACTTGGTCTATCAGCGCCGCATTACGCTTACGCGATCCAGTGGATAGGAATCGCCATATCAAACTAACCCTCCCTTCTGCCATGGAACTTAAACCCCAAGTTTTGTGTAAAAGATTGCAGAGAACAACTTGTTCTCAAGTTTCACGGTGCATGTATGTCATAATCACAATGTCAAATAATCACATGCATGCGACGCTAATACGATGCCCAATGGGTGTCAAATGCATGGCGCATCTCGTAAGGAGAACGAACTTGGTTGTGCCCGTGTCGTGCAGAGGTACCATCCCACTTCACTCACCTATGACTTTAGAACCCTATAGCTGACACCGAAGGTAGGGAAGGAGGACCTAAGGTAACACTGAAGGATAAGCCTTGAACAAAATAATGATGCACGCACCTTGCAATCACCTTGCCTAGAAAAACGCGCAAAAATACAGATCCGAGTGCCTATCTAAAGTTGTCGATTCATATGAGAACCTTTCTGCAAAGCAGGAATATCGAT